GTGGCATTAGTCAGACTGCAGTTGGAGTACTGCATCCAGTTTTGGGCGCTGTACTTTAAGAAGAATGTGGATAACCTAGAGAGTGTCCAGAGAAGGGCCACTCGTATGGTTAAGGGTTTGCAGGCCAAGCCCTCTGAAAGAGAAGGCTGAGAGGTGATCTCATGGCCGCCTACAAATTCTTGGGGGGGGCGCAGCAAGGAATTGGAGATGCTCTGTTCACCAGGGTGCCTCTTGGGGTAACAAGGAACAACAGTCACAAACTGACGGTGCAGATTTAGGCTGGACATCAGGAAGATCTTCACGGGAAGGGTAGCCAGAATTTGGAATGGGCTTCCAAGGGAGGTGGTGCTCTCCCTTACCTTGGGGGTTTTTAAGAGAAGGCTGGATAGGCACCTGACTGAGGCAAGATGACCCATTGGTGGGGGGGCACCGTTGACTCCAGCGCTCTTTCCTGCCCAGGGCAGGGGATCGGACTTGATGATCTGATGAGGTCCCTTCCAACCGTAGCATCTATGAATCTATACAGATGGAAAAAGAATCTAAAATGTGCCTAAGTGCCAAAAATGGCACTTAAGTGGCACTTAAAGGGGAAATATGATTTGACTCTAAAAGTATAAACCAACATGAGTATGAAGCCAGAGACTATGAGCCATTAATTAATTTAGAAAAGATCTATATGAGGATTTATTATATTTTGGATCCCGTTATACAAAAACTTGAAGACAGAGTTTTACAACTTGGGCAGCACATAAGTATTCAAGGGTGTTGTGTGCGTGCAGGAGGTGGGGGGGAATGGTATCTCCAAAACAGTATCCTGAAGAGAATGACAACAAGAATGTGCTATTTTTAACTGAAGTATAAGATGAGGAACAACCTAATGAAGTGAGATACCCTCTGACATACATGCCTTGGATTTTTTCTTAGCAAGGAACTTACTTCTGGCTCTTAGCAGTGGTTGAAACCTGGATCACGTTCAAAAGCTGTACTGGAATTTCCATGCAAAATGTCCTTGTTTCCAGAGGTCTCCATTGCAGTCAGGATTCCAATAATCTTGTCTGTGTGTGTTGCAAACAGAGAACAGGTTTTTTTTAAAGTTAAGTTTATAAACTATATTTTTATTATATATTGGCTCAGTCTCACTTGGTGAGCTTTTTTTTAAATTTTCATTGAAAGCCAAATTGTTGAGAGTCTTGATCTGAAAGATGCCAACCAAAAGGCCAAAAGGCTCAGTCAAAGCAAGAAAAGTGAATATCACTGAAGATGTAAGTTGCTTGTCCTGAGTTTTTGTAGAAAAAGGCTTTAATGATTGTGAATCTGGTTTTCAAGTTTGTTTCATATGTGCATTATTATCCAGTATGATGAATCTAGTCTTTTTTGTGCTGAATAGGGAGTTAGAAGTTAATGGGAAAGGGCTGTAAAAAAATAAAAAGTATTCCTACCAGCATGGAGCCTCTTCTGAACCAAACACTGAATATTTTGCAGTGTAACTTCATCTTCTGTTTAAATTTAAGCTGAAATTCAGAACAGAAACTCTGTTGGCTGCTTTGCTAAGGAAAAGGACAGGGCTGAGCTTGGCAGAAGCAGAGAAAAGTACCAAGAGGCCCAGAGGCTGTATCAAAGATCACCTGTTACTCACTGAGAACAAAAGCTGCTTTCCACTCAGGCTTTGATACCATAAGAGCTGATCAGCTCTGGTACACATGAATACTGTTTGAAGCAGAGTAGGAGAGAAATCCCATTCAGAAGTGGCTCCTGTGTCTATCTAGCTGCAGATTGCTGGCCGATTCTCTGCTTAACTTCCACATGAGGCAACACATGCTTTGAAATGGCAAGCAGTCATTAGTGGGGCTATATACCAGTGTGAAGTAATATTTGTGTCTTTACTAGAATGAGAGATTTGAACTTAGAAATTACGGTTCAAAATTGCTAGATCTATCCAAGTTTATAAAAGATATGATCATAGAATCAGATGGATGGAAGAGCTCTTGAGGAACAGATGCAGGATTTACTGTTCCTAAACAGGTGCCTTTCCACCCTCTTGAAAACCTCCAGAGAAGGAGATTCCACAGCTACCCTGGGCAGCTTGTTCCTCTAGCTTACTGGTTTGACAGGAAGATTTTCCTGAGATTTCATTGTACAGGTTTCCCTTCCTTTATGCTGTACATGCATTCCTGGAAAACCGCACATAACTCAAATTTGCATAAAGGGAACCCACTTTACAATGTAACAAAAAGGGATACTTTCCAAGACCTTGGCTGTACTGACCCCCACACCCATTTCTACCACTTTTACAAGACAACTTTGTTGCTCAACGACAGCAGACAATACACACAAGCACAGGGCACTATCATAATGGGGATGGCAACTACAGAAACACATTTTGCAGCCAATGAGTGAGGAGCATAGATCCACACAGGAGACTATATCTTGGTGTGTGTCACTCCCACAATGCACTGTGCAGAGCAGGTGACTGCAGGCTTCCACCACACCGATCGCATAAGAGTGAATTTACCTTGCATATAACGAATTTTTGGTATAAAAAGGGTCATCACATAAGAGTGAATTCGCACAATCAGAACCCACATAAAGCGAGGGAAACCTGTAATCTGCTATGCTGCAGTTTAGACCCATTGCCATATGTCCTGCTTGCTCTGGCATTCCTTCAAATATTTGAAAATTGCTATCATGTTCCCCTTAATCTTCTTTTTCTTCAGACTACGTGTAACCAGTTCCTTCATATGGCTTGGTTTCTAATAGTTTAGCATTAGAAAAATATTAGAAAAAGAGTCTAGTATTTCACTTCTTTTACCTCAGATCTGGTATAAGTATTGCTTTGTTAGCACTGTTACAATCTTACAAGTGTTTTTTTCTTACTATATAAGGTTTTAATTTTGGAAGAAAACCTTATTGTTGGGTAGTGTTTATGCATTAGAGCTTCTCTGCTTTCTTCTATGGATTTGGAATCAAGACTTGAAAGAGAACAGCTTCCAGAAATATCAGTTCATGCATCCATACCTGGTTCCTAAGAAGGTATTGCCCATGTGCTGTTTGTGACCATCTCTGTCTCAAAACTGGTGTGTGCCTGTGAGTGTGCTCATGCTGTCGTTCTTCAAAGACTAACCCTTGAGCCTATACAGATTCATGTCACTGATTTCTCCTGCACAGGGCAGCAGACCTAATAAAGGCCTAAAATTCTTATTCCTGGCACAGGATATTCCAGTGTCATGAAAAGAGGCAAACGTGTGTGTGTGTTTATGGAGTTATTTCTAGCATAGAATTGTGCATTAGGTAGCTGAAATCCTGAATTATACTTTTACAACTTTATAATGGGGGGAAACCCTCATTTCTGTCAATTCCAAGAAGCTTGTAGTAGAAACATCCATCTGATCACTAATGTTTACACGGTCTGTCTGATCCATTGTGTAAGAAAGAGATACCATCAACCTGGGTGAGTAGAAGCAAGAGACGTTGGGTGTTGGACATTGCAGTTCAGTTTAACAGTAGTCAGACTCTCACATTACCTTGTGTGGGGAAAGGCTTTGTTGTTCCATAACTAGTTGGTCATAGAAGCTACTAAAGTGAGCTGTGCTTTTTAGGTGCTAGTGGGAGGCAACTGGCAAGTGAGAGGTAGCATGTTCTTCCCATCAGGAAAATGCACAGTCCATTGCAGTGTGATGGACTATTGAAGTCGCTTGTGCCCTCTAGACATTAGCAGGAAGCAGGGTTGCTTTGTATTTAGGCAATGGACAGAGCCAGAGGAATCGGGTTCAGTTTCTACCTCTGCCACAGGCCTGACCACAGTCACTAGGTACTGCAGAATGGTAATGCTGCCTTTCTCTCACCAGTTGTTTTGCCTACTTAATTAAGCCCTCAGGGAGAGGACTGTCATGTTTATACAGTGCTTTAGCACAACAGGATCCCTGGTCTCAGTTCAGGCCATCTAAGTGAAGCAGAACTGGCTCAGGGAATAAGTGCTCCAGGCAGACGAGAGGGGTGAGGAAGGCATAGCAATTTACATTCTTCTGTCATGATAACCAAGGTTTGTCTCCAATACGCCTCTGCTCTTGTAATCTTTCTGCTGGTTGGCAGCTGTGGAAGGTTCACACAATTTGTGTTTCAATCTAGCCTCAGTCAGTCCTAAACTAAGCACATCCTGTGTGTATAGTTGAGGGAGGAGGAAGAACCAGAGGAAGAAAAGCAAAGGCATGTCTAATATTGGGTTTTCCCCAGGCCTTAACTCTAACAGCACAGCAGAGTATTCCACCCCCCTTGAGAACTAGGCAGGGATTTGACTGGAATGGACATACGTTTGCATGAAATATATGAGAATGGGAAGGCCAGTGTCACTTTCAACACTTCACCACCACCATCACAAGTGACCAAATTAGCCCCAGACTCCAGATAGGCTGCGTTTCTTAATAATCATTTCAGTAACTTTCCCAGCTTCAGACCTCTGTCATTCCTAAGGCTAGCATAGTCTTCCACAGGGCTGTGTCAACATCTTCAGCAGG